CTAAAAAATAATAATTCTAAATATAAAAAAGCCCGACAATATTTTACCGCCCAAGCCTATATTGAGGCCGAATATCCCAAACTTATCCAAAAAAATATTAAGAAACTAGATATCAGCAACTTGGATTTACCAGGAGAATTAGATTTGAGTAATTTTACTAAATTAGAAGAATTAAATTGTGCTAATAATTTACTAACTCGATTGGATTTAAGCGGTTGTGTTAATTTAAAGAAATTAAATGGGGATGGGAATGATAATTTAAAAGTTTTCTGAAGTAAAAAAGTTGAGAACCAGGTTCGGTATTCAACTCTGGGTCTGTCAGCCCCACTTTCTTTACAAGAGATTAGAGAAGCCAAAATAAAAAAACAAAGGAGGCAAGGGGGTATTATTCCGGATTCAGCACTCTGAAATACTATTCACCCAAACTTTACTTTAGAGGTAAGTCAATCCTGAAAGAATTTGGGTTTTGCTTTTGAGGAAACTAATGATTGAATTAAGGCTGGTTTTACTCCTAATGACCTTGAATTATGTGTCTGAGTGAGAGACATTAAAAAAATAAGGGCAATAGAAGTGTTGAAAGGAGAAGTAGCAGATTTAAGAAAAGAATTTAAACATTGACAAGAAGGGGCAATAAGTATGTCAATTGAAATTCAAACAAAAAAGTATGAATAATATTAATTGAAATCGAATAATTAAAATGGCCATTCAGATTTTCGGGGCAACTGCTCCAGCTCTGATTGTTTGGTATATTAATCGTCCCAAACAAAAATCTAGTCCCAAAACAAGACTAATCCGCAAAGAAGGACAAATCGCCAAAACTAAACTAAAACACGAAACTGAAAATGCTCAACGGGCCTTGAGACACCAAACCGAATTAAAAATTTTAGAAATAGATAGGCAAACCATTCTCAAAGAAATTGCTTATGACACTGAAAGATTTAAGTTGGAGAGTGGTTTAGGTGAAAAAAGGGGTGAATCTGAACCAGAAATGCCAAGTACTCCCGAAGGGCAAAATAAACTGGATCTTTTATCCGGTCTAAAACAACAAGGGGCTAATTTATTCCAAAAAGGGGTTGGCCAAGTCAAGCAAGTAGCGGAGGAAAAAATTAATCAGGCCACCAAAGCCGTTAATGAAAAAGCCAATCAATTTACCAAAACTACCGGTGATAAAATTGACGAGATTACTAAAAAAGTTAAACCAAAAAAGGAGGAATAATTTTAAAAATGCTAAGGAATGAACCACGAAGTAAAAATAAGAAAACCAGTTTTAAAACCTCTGCCAGTTGAGTGTTTTTATGAAAAGGGTAGAATTGAGTATCAAGGAAAAATTTTGACAGAGGGTCGTAAGTGCGGAAAAATCTTTGAAATTAAATATAATCGCACCACTGGTCAATATGTCCAAAGGAATAATTGAGATTATTGGACGCAAAAGGATGAAGACAAAGGAAAATATATCTGTAATAATTGTTTAATTACTCTATATAGAAAAGACAAATATTTTTTTTGAGAGAGTGTTCGGAGTGAGAGAAAAAAGCGAACTTTGGGGAATTATGTTAATAGTGGCTCGTTATCTTAACTTATTTGCTTTTTGATTTGGCGTGATAACGGCTTTTTTTACTTCTTTAATGTCGTTTTTTATTTGAGAATACTCATCTTTTACAAGATTTCGTATTTCTTTTAACTCTTGAAAAAATTCAGTTTTAGTGACATACTCTCCCTTACTGTTTGCCATTCTCATTCGCTTTTTTTTGTCCTCCATAATTCTATATAATGTATTTTTAACATTTTAACTAAAATACAAGTTAAAACCTTAAAAATTCCCCAATGAGTCAAAAGCGAAGGTAAAAATACTCATATGGATAACATCAAACTAATTCAAGCAACTCCAACCAGCATCGTCCGCAACTCCTTGGATAAAGCAATAAATTTCTCCCCTCTAGTTTTACCCCTAGTGGCAATAATTTTAGTATCTATCCCCTGCTTCTGCTTATGTCTTTGCTACGCCAGATGCTGAACTCGCAACAAAATTCCTCAAACCCCTAAAACCCCTAAACAAATCGCTTAAATATGAAAAAAGAACTAAATTCACGAAAAAGAAGTAAAAGTTATACCCCAACCCCTCTATCATTAGGTGACGTCAGGGAAGTTGAAACTTCTTCACTATCACCTTTACGAGGTCGTCCCTTACCTCCTTCTCGCCAAACAAAGTCGGTTCCTAACACTCCCCTCAATAATTCTTATCAGTCTAACTACTCACCAACCTCACCTACTATTAGTGAAACTAGTGAATATTCTTATGAGAATGATGATAGTGAAGCCGAGGAAGTTTACTACGAAACTATTATCAAATTATACGAAGAAGACAAACTTAAAACTGATAGAGAAATCACTGATTTACACAATGAAATTCATCGTTTAGAAGCAAACTTGGAAACTTTACAAACCGAGGGAGAAGCAAAAGAAAACAAGTTAAAAGAAACCCGCCAAAAACTTCACCAAGCAAGTCAAGAAATCAAATTATTAGAAAAGGAAAAAGAATCCATTAGCCAAGAATTAAATCTGACTAATGCCGACTTTTTAGAAAAAGACGAAGAAGTTAGGAAATTAACTGAACGCTTAAACAAGGAAATTGCTAATGGCAAATCCTTAGTAGAAAAATTAGAAACCCAGTGAAAGGAAAATAAAGAAATTGCCACTAAACAGCAAAAATTATTTAACCAAATCACTAATTTAAGTCGGGATAAAAACCTACAAGAGGAGGAAAAACTTCGCCTAGAACAATTAATTTTAGAAAAAGAGCAAGAATACCGGAAAAGGTGAAAACAAAGAGAACAAGAACACCAAAAACAAATCCAAAATTATCGTTTATTTAATTCTTTTGAGAATGAGGATAAAAAATGAAAAAGGCAAACCTTAGACTACGGCATTTTATCTCGGGCTAAAACTATTTACTTGGATCATAGTAGAAGTGATTCAACGAGTTCCTTATCCACCCGAGTTCAAAGTCCTACTTTAGATTTAGAATTGGCTTTAAAAACTCCTAAAACAACTACTTTAAACCAAGAACTAAAAAGTCCTGGTTTGGAAGAAAGCGAGAAAAGATTAAGCACCACCTTTGATAATTTACTGGCTAATATTAATGATTATCAGCAAGAAAAAAGTCAGGTGGTAGAAATTTCCACTGAAGCCTTTGCAGAAATGGAAGCGAGAATTGTTGATTTAACCCAAGAGCGAGAAGCCTATGAGCAACGAATTCAGCAACAAGAAACTATGGTTCAAGAACTGGCTCAGAAGAATATTCTCTTACAGGAGCAATTAGCAACCGAACAAAACCAAACTAAACGGGTGAAGGACATAGAACAGTCCCTCTTAATCCTTAATCAAAATAATCTAGAATACCAAAGGGAAAATAATGATTTGCAAGAACAATTAAGGCAAAAAAATTATCAATTACAATCCACAGAATTAAAAAAGGCTAATCTGGATAATTTTATCAAAAGTTTAGCCGAGATTTTCCCTCTTTCAGAAACTCAAAAGGGTAAATTGGACGAAGCCGAAGAACCTGATACTAAACTTTTATCTTTTTTAAAAACTAATATTTTTGGGGGAGTAAGTAAGTTAAAAACTAAAATTGCTGAATTAGAGGAAAAACAAAAGCAACAAGAAAATAAAGAGGCTGACAAAATGAAAAGAATTAGTGAGGCCGTAAAAGAATTATCGGAAGCCAAAAAACTCTTTACTAATATAGAAATAAATAAAAGCAAATAATATGGAAGAAGAATTAATTAAACAAATATTAGAAGCGACAGCCTTCATAAACGAAATAAAAACCCAATTGCAACAGACCCAGCAAGAAGTTTTAGATTTAACCCAAGAACGGGATAAATTGACTACTGAAAGAGATGATGCCCTTAGTGAATTGCAAATAGAAAAGACTAATCATCAGCAGACCCAAACTGAATTAGCTGCCACCAAAACCAGCCGGGATAATTTACAAATTGAATTAGACCAAGTAAAAACCGAAAGAGATAATTTAAAAAATGAAAAAACCCAGAAGTCAGCCACTTTGGAAAAAGCCAAAACCAATATGGATGAATTGATGGCTCAAGTTTTAGATTTGAGAAAAACAGCGGTAAATTTCAACAAAAGATAATAGCATGGAGCGAGAATTACAAAACTTACAGGACAGAAATGAAAGATTGGAGGAGGAAAATATTAATTTGCTTAACCGAGTTCGCTTGTTAGAAAAAGAGAATGAAGAATTAAAGAAGGAGAATGAGGAACTGAAAAAAGAACTGAAAGAGTGTGATGAAGGAATTGAAACAATTAAGGAGGCAGACAGAAAACTCGATGAGTCCATAGAAGCCTTACAAGCAAAAGTTGTTCAGGTAACAGCAGGAATTAAATCGCTTAAATCTAAAAACTAATCTCAATTTATACCAAAATGACTACGCCGGAGGAGGAATTGTGCCAAAAAATTAAAGTTTTGCAAGGCTATATTGCTGAAATAAACCAAATTTTTACTGAAAGTTTACAGAATAAAGAAAGCGAATTATCAACTAAACAAAAAGAACTCCAAGTCATTGAAGAAAAATTATTAACTTGCCACCATCAATTTACTAATTTGCGAACAATTAGCCAAATTTAGAGTAGTTAATTCATTCCCACCCGCAATTATTTCACTAACTTGGCTATCCCCTTGGATTTCTAATTTAGTCAATTGATTATTCCACAGATTAATTTGCTTTAAATTGGGGCAATTAATAATAGTGAGAGCAGTTAATTCCTGATTGGGTAAATTTATCTCTTGTAAATTAGGATAATCTTGGATAATTAATTCTCCGCTTAATTTTACTTCTTCGGATAAAATACCAATTGCGGTAACACTTTTATCTCAATTTTTTTCTAAATATTCTTGGGCTGTCATTATATCTTATTAATTTTGTCTTTAACTTCTTGGTATTTTTCTTTATCAATAAGGAATTGGAGATAATTCTCTCATTTTTGCTTCTGCTGAGCCAATCTCTCAAAATTCTCACTAGTTGGCGATTGTTCTTGTTTTTTCTTTAGATTCTCAATCTCTAACTTTAAAGGAGTTGTCGTAATTAATTCTTTCAAATTATCCTTAAAAGGATTATTGGGATTATAATTTACTTGGATAATATATTCTTGCTCGTTGGGGTCATAATCCACAGTGGCTTTTAAGGCTAATTCTTTTAATTTTTCCTCATCAGGGCTATTTTTTAACTCTTGGCTAAGCAAATCCAGTAATTCTTGCCAAATAGTTTGTCAAGTTTGGCTAACTGTTTCTTTATTTACTGCTGATTTTACTATTTGAATATCAGTAATTTCTTGGTTGGGATAATAAATAGTCAATAGTTCACTTATTTCTAATTGCTGATGCGGAAAACTAGTTGGAGTTAATAATAATTCAAACTCTTTTTGGTAATTTTCGCTTAAATTATCTTTTACCCACTTTAAATCTTCGCTAAATTGTTGTCAAAATGCGGGATTTTTTTCACCATCATGATTAATTTTGGTTAATTCTTGGGCTAAATTTCAAAAGACTAAATTGGGAGCAAAGTTGCCCAACTTATCTTTTTGGTCCAAACTAATAAAAATGCCCTCTTGATTTTCTTTTTTAGTAAAATTAACCGCAACTGACTTAATTTTGGCTAATTTTTGTATTTCTTTAACTACTTTTTTTTGTGAAATATCGGTAATCCCCAACTCTTCTCACAATTTTTTATCTTCTTCGGTTTCCTCCTCCGCCTGTTCTCAAATTATTTCTTTTAATTTAGTGAGACCTTGGGTAATTATTTTAGTTAAAGGAGTTGATAAAAATTGCGGGCTAATTTCTACTTTTTCCAGGTTAGAAAAAGCGGTTAAATCCAATTCTCCTCCTGCCAAATTTTCAGTAATGGAGGTCAAAATAAGTTCCTGGACTTCGGCTTTTGTTTCCTCAGTGGGGTATTTTTCCTGTAAATATTCTTGTAAAGTTGTCATAATTATGGTTGTTCTATTTGGGCTACTTGTGCTTGTATTTGAATTAATTCATTACGGCATTCCGCAATTATTTTCTTTACTTGTTCATTATTTTCTAAGTAAGCGTCGGCTCGTTCTGTTTCTCCTCTTTCTCGGCAACGATTAGCCAGTGCCAGATTGCCGGCGATAATTCCTTCTAAATTATCAATTCTGTTGATTAAAACTTGTCTTCGTGTTTGGTTTAGCATATTCAAGTGCCAGAATAAAGCAGTTTAAAATGGCAAAATTAAACGCAAATAAATCAAAACATTTAATAATTATTCAACCACTTTAATCTGGCAATTCAATATGGGCAGTTTTACCTGCCCTAAAGTAGAGAGTAGAGGATGGCAGTTCTACACTTTTTGGTGGGCAGGCAGAATTGTCCGATTCAAGAACCTACCCACCATTTTTTAATTAATCAAAACTCAATCCTGTTCTACTATCTTTTCTGAAAAAGTATAAGGTTCAGCAAAATATAATTCTTGGTAATCCTCTTTTCGCAAAGAATTAGTGGCCCAATCATTTAAATATTGAGAACCATCTTTTAATTTTCCACCTGCTATTTCTATTCCTTGACCGGCATATTTGGTTGCTTCAAAAGTTTTTTCCAAGATTCAAGAGCCATTTTTTACTCCTGTTCCTGTTGTTGAAGTTGCTACTCCCGTTCCTAATCCAAAAAGGGATAGGGCTAATCCTGCATAAATGATAAATTTTTTGATGATATTCATAATATAACAATTTATCAATATTTTAAATTGGCTTAGTTTACTTTTTAAAATGTTAGTTAAAATGTTAAAAAATAAGGCCAAGGCATTTTTTACAACTGTAAATAGGGCTGCAATCATTCTTTTTTCTCTACATTACAATTTTTAAAAAAATCTAAATATACTCCAAAATACTTTCTATTAGTTTTTGGGCTTCTTTTCTTAAATTTTTATAACTTACCTCAGTAATGGCTTTACCTTCATCTTGGATCAAACGAAAAGAAACTCTTTCTGGCAAAGCAATTGGCAAATAAGAATAACCTGTAGCCTTTAAGTAGTCAGTAACTACTTCTCTTTCAACTTTGCTACCAATATGATTAAGGACAAATAACAACTTCTCTTTCTTTATTTCTAATCCAACCAAGGCATTAAATTCTTTTACGGCTGGCACTAAGTCGGCTCGACTGGCTCCGGTGGGTTGGATTAGTAAATTAGCCATTTTGGCTATTTCCAAGGTCCCTTGACTAGTGCGGGCTGGGGCATCGATTATTATCAAGTCATAATCTTTACTTAAAGGCCAAATATCTTTAACTTGATTAAACAAGCGACATTCTATGCTTTTTTTTACTTTAGCCCATTCATTACTAGTTCCTTGTTGAAAATCACAATCGGCCAAGAGAACTTTAATTTTCTGCTTTTTGGCTTCTACCGCTAACGCTTGGGCCAGGGTTGACTTACCAACTCCTCCTTTTTGGCTAATAAAGGCGATAATAGTCATTGCTTCACTTTACTATATTAAGAGAGAGAGAGAGAGAGAGAATTTGTATGTTTTTATATTACCGAAAAAACACATGAAACTCAATGGAAGTGAAGCAAACATTGATAACTCTCACCTCTTCTTCCCTCTCTTAATACATATAGTAGAGGCACATCCCAACTATATTATATATTTTAAGGATAAGATATCTAGGCAAAAACAATTAAATTTAGGAAATGAACAATTACTCGTAACTTAATTAACCCTTACCGAAACCTTCTGTTGACAACACCCCGACTTCACTTTTCCTTTCTTCTTTTTCTTTCCCCAAGCCCACCTAATAAACCAAACATGGAATATAAGAAAAAAGAACAACATAATCACAATAATCCCCAACAATCAAACAATTTTCTGCTCCAAATATCCTTTAGCCTTTTCTTTTTCCGGACAAACCGAACAAGGTTTACTTAAATTTTCAATAACCTTCTGTTGCATTTGCTGATAATTTTGTCAGGCACTAGATAATTGTTGGTTAATTTTACTAAATTGTTTCTGACTTTCAGAAGCCAAAGTAATTATTTGTTGCGACTTTTGCTCTTGGGATAAATTAGAATTAGCCAATTCTGTTATTTTATTATCCAATTGTTTTTGTAAATCATCTTTTTGTTGCTGGCAAGTTAATAATTTTTCTTCAATGACTTGGAGTTCTTTTTGTTTAGTTGATAATTCGCTTTCTTTATTCTGTAA